CAACGAACAACCTCGTGATTACTGTTACAATTAATAATTGTCTCAGTAAACCCATCAAACCACTACAATAGGATCTAACTATACTACTGAACTGAGAGTGTAACAATTACTCGCAATGGAACAATTACTGGTAAAGCATGGAGGGTGGCATTAAGGGACAGGTTAGTATTTTGCCTCATAGTGCTGAGGCCCTAGGTTCAGTTTTGGACCTGGGTTTTTTAGATCCTCTCCGTGAGATTTATTGGATTAGGGTTAGGGTTAGGGATATTTGGCCTTTAATATGAGTACATGTTTGCATTTGTGTCTGTCTGCCCTGTAATAGACTGCCTTGTGCCTGTTGCTTACTGGGATAGGCTCCATCTCTCTAGCGACTAGATGGCTAGATGTTAGGAGACCAGCCCTGAGCTCCATTTCTGTTGCCTTGTTATGTGAGCTGCCCCGTTGTCCCCCAGTGTCTTATCATGTATATAACACCTTTATTTCCTGTCTTGTTTTCAAAACAAAAACATGTCTATTAAAATACCAATCCAAACACATTTCTCTCAGCTTTAACGTTCAGTCCAATTTTTTAAATGTATTAATATTTGTAAGTGTACTAATATGTTTTCTAATTATTTTAAGCAAACCGTAAACAGTGTACAAGATTCCTCATGGTCTCTCAGGTTTACAGCAAGTAATCATTAACTGCTTTATTTGCAGCAACTATTATTTGCCTTCTTGAGTCTCCAATTGTTGTTTGAGATTACACAGTGAGAATGTCTATACAATATTTTGATTATAATAATAATAATTATAATAATTGCTTACACTTATATAGCCCTTTTCTGGACAATCCGCTCAAATCAAAATGTCAATTTCTTATTCTGTCTTTTTCATTAATATGTTATTTTCTCAATTCTGGAGAGCACGGACTCTGCAGAATGTTTTTATTGAGTATCACCAGCTGTGGATTTTCGATTGAATTGTTCAACCCATCTTCTGTGCCCAGACTGGATTAAATCAAAAGCCCTCCCTAACACTTCTCTAGAGATCGATGGGCAGGTCTGTCCCAAAGCCATGCCCTAGTTGTTTAAAGTTCACATTCATACGGAGGACTCCTTTAGGATTTAACAGGAGTCCTCCTCCATGGAGTGCAACAGAATAACATCAAGCCAACCTAAATCTGAATACAAACGTTGCTGTAGCCTTGGTAAGACTATTGCATGCTTACAGTGTGCTCAGATTTTCTATTCCGCATTGGTGTAAATGCTGGTTTTCTTTATTAATAAACTGTTGACGGGTGCTGAGGTGCTTTTCTATTGCTTTCTACATATCTAATGATATATGTTGTACTTATAATATTTTGGAAGATATACCATTGTTCAAACGTATCTTCTTTTGTATTATTCTGTTGGAATACAGCTTAAGATAACCCAAATATTGCAAATTAGACATCTTTGACTACAAACATTTTTTTACAAACAGAACTTTAAACAAAGTTTAAACATTTGTCTGTTTTCTCTTGGCTCCATAAAATTCTCATTTATTTTAACTTAGGAAGTTTTTTTTTTTTTGCTATGTGTTACTGACCTCTAATGGGATTTGAAAAACATTTTTTTTAAAACAGTAATATAAGATGTAAGGCTTTTCCTTAAAGTTTCATTCTGAATTATATAGACTGTGAGTGTAAATGTATTGCTCTTGAGAGATTCAATACAATTTTACATTAGTGAAATAAAATGGCTATTCTTCCAAATTTGTTTCAAGGAAACATTGTAAGCATTGTAACAAGAGAAAAAGGGTTGTTGTGAAACAGGTAATATATGTTTTTAAAAAGAAAACAAGCTCAATGTGATAGGTTCAGTCTCAACCTGATGAACAGTCTGCTTATTTTTACAAATATTACTTTAATGTGGGTGGCAGACTGAGAGACATGCAAGTGTACAATCATTCAGTGTCTGGTATAAATTAGTAATTGGCATTTCTGAGCAGTTTCATCTGCTTTTATGATAAATATGAAAGCAATACAGTGTAAGCACCATTTTAATCAGTACTTAAGCACAGCAGAAAACGAAGGAAGCTACCATTTAGGTAAACAGGGATAGGAGTCTTTAGGTAAAGCAGCTTTGTGATGCTCACTGTTTTAACATTGTTGTTCTCTTATCTTTAATAAACAGAATTTTTTTATTTGTTAAAGATGAAAATAACATTGTTTTACTATATTTTAGAAGACATTCTTCCATTCTATATCAAAAAGCTGCTGTTCTGGTGAGTGTTGCAGCCACGCAGAGCCCATCCTGGAAGCACAAGACACAGGGTGGGAGAACAACTCCTCCCTCACTTTGTCCCCATGGTCCAGGGCAAAACCACACATGTGAGAACTTGCAGACTCCAGACAGAAGGGAAGGCACTCCAGTTCAGAATCAATTCAGCCCATCAATCTTCTTTTGTAGTTAGTAGCTAATTGATTCAAGGACCTCATCCATCCATTTCTCGAAGCAAGCCAGGGTATCGACTTCTACAGTATGGCTGTGCGGCGTGTTCCACGCTCCCATAACCCTTTGGGTGAAAAGGAAGTTTCTTGTAATTTGTAGCTTCTTGTCCACATAGTTGTTTTGTGTTCTTTTGTTTGTGTTTCACTGTTCATTCTGAAGTCCACTGAGTTGACATTGTCCAAATCTCTTGTATTATTTTTTGTTTCAGACTAAGAAAAAACAAAGTTCCTTCCATCTGTCGGTTTAGGACATTCTCTGAAGATATCTTATTTCTAACATAGGGATTAAACTGTAAACAGTATTCAGTAAGGTCTTTCTAGTTCATTGTACAATTTCAGCACAATGACCTGCGATTTCAATTATGTCTATCCTAATATTTTGTTTGCCTTTTTCACTGTTTCCCAGCATTGTTTAGAAATTTAAAATGCTTCAGCATAAGCACCTTAGTCTTTTTTTCATGAACTGTTTCCAGTTTCCTATCTATTCTTTCTTTTTCCTACCTGCATATAATATTCTCCACTTGTCTGCATTAAATATATTTTAGAACCTATTTTAGAGGTCTATATTTTAGACCTCAGGTGTCTTGAGTTTCCTCTAAATCTTTTTGAATTTAGTTTGCTATGAACTGTTACTCAAGTTCTATGTATGTATATTAAAATAGGCTACAATGCAGTAAAACAGATGCTGTTATTACTAGTAATTTCAATAGTCCAGTGCTTTTAAAAGAAAGCAACAGGAAAACCTTTTTCCAACAAGTTTTGAATTCTCAATAAGTATTATTGTGTCATTTCTTTCAGCAGCGTGCATTTCGTCATCCTTAAATTCCTAGCTACATTGACTATGGTTTTCTTACAATTTAGGCAGTTTGAAACCAAATATTTATTTAATATTTGGCAAAATTCCAGAAAACTGCAGAGTGAGTAAACAATAAGTCCACAAATTTTAAATCTTACAATAGACAGTGTCTCTGTTAATCTCTGTACTGAGGGCGGTGTTGAGCTGTTCTTTCTACCAAGTCCATTCAATAGAACTGGGATTAGGTGAGTGTTCAAGCCAGGGGGGCTAATGAAAGTTTATTTCATGCTACCACAAGTCAACCCTACAATCTCCACCAGAGATCCAATTCATTTAACACAGTATAATGCATTCAAGAATCAGATGCTTTGTGAATGTTTATTGAGCAATTTAGGTATAATAGATTTTGGCTTAACCTGCTGGGTAAAGGAGCAGCCCCCTGGCCATAGAAAAAGGCAGTTTGGGATCCCTGTACAGAGAGAGGAGTTTGCAGGGGCAGCTGCAAAAGTGGAGATGAAGTGGAGGATAATTGCAGGAGACAAAATGTGGGAAAAAAGAGGCGCTTGCATGAGAGATGCGTGTATAGCTGTATATAATGATTAGGGTTTATCACATCTGGGTGAAATGAACTTGTTTGTCATTAATCCCCTGAACTTCAGTTAAGAAGTCCATTTAAATGGAATAATATTAATATTTGGACTATTTTTTAAACTCATATTTTGACTATTTTTCCATAGATCTTATTAGAGTCTAATTATGCATTTACAATTTAACCAAAATTCCCAAATACATGTGTTTATAGTATGCCTGTCTTCTGGGGGCATATGCTACTGTAATATAAGTAAATAGTTATGTCCTTTTTGTGTCTAAAACTGTTGCACAACCAGATGTTCTTTGTTTCCTCTATAGATCATGATGGATGCCTTTGACTCAAACTCAACTTTTCTGCTCAACCACAGCAAACCGAATGACTCAGTTAGGCCATGGACACCTTTTGATGGATGTGAAGAGAGACCTGCTGGTATTTTCTTTGACTTAACTGCTCAGATTTTCAATGTCATCTTGGGTCTGCCAGCCAATGTAACAGTTCTTTGGCTCATACTGAGAAAAACAGGAGAATCCTCCACTTCAGACATCTTCATATTTAACCTTGCAGTCATGGATGGCTTCTTTGGCTGCATGGTCCCTCTTGACATTGTTAATGTATTTCTTCTCAATAATAAAGATGTCTGGTATGCCCAGAAATTTGCTTATGGGGTGAAGGACATGGGGGGTCCCCTGTTTCTCTCCTGTATCTGTTTAGACCGGTATGTAGCTGTGCTGCATCCCATCACTTTCACAGGCCTCAAAGATCACAAATACAGAGCAGCCTGCTCAGTGGTGGTGCTGGCCATCACGTTAGCATACGCCATCGCCAAGGCCATTGGGGGGATTGAGAACTTTGAGAAGATATTCACTGTCAGTATCCTCACTGCCTTTGCCTTCATGTTATTCTGTAACATCTCCATCCTGTGGGCACTGAAGAGATCTGGACCAGGGAAAGACGAGATGCACCCCATGAAGAAGAAGGCCTTCAAGATGGTTCTGTCCATCCTGGCTATTATAGTATTTAATTATCTCCCACCTGTAGCTCTTTTCCCTTTCCAGCAATATTATTCTGTCGATGTGTTTAAGTGCTACATCCAGCCCTTTGCCTTCTCCTTCGTCAACATCAGCAGCAGCACTCAGCCCTTACTCTACCTGTCCAGAGTGGAGAACACTAAGCTGTGTTCTTCAACGAGGACCAAGAGTATGGGAAGTTAAGGTTCTCTTCAAGGGAAATTGTACAGCATAGTGGGAATGAAATCAATTATACTGTTGTTCCGCAAATGGAGGACTTTCTGGTCAAAATGTAGTCCACCAAATCGTATCTTCTCATGGTCAATTTTACACACTAGCCAGGGGCCCTAAAACCCACCAATGACTCTCTGAGATTTCAGTATGACTCATCTTGACTTTAGAGTGTATATTTCTTCCAGTAATGTTCAAAGCTTCACTATGTATTTGTCAGTTTTAAAATACTTTTATTGGTTTTGAGGTTATAGTTGTTCTTGCCTTGTGTCCGTGTTTCCATGTGTCTGTGTATTTCAAACTTTTACAGTATCCCATGCACCTACTGTAGGAGAATTGAGTTAAAACTAATCAATTCAAATTAAA